TCTTAGGGGAGTAAACATCTCCCGCCGTAATCACCTTGTTCATTGTTGATAGATTTGGGAGGGAAGCGAAGATTAGAAAGGACCTAATTTCGGAAATTTGACATCTACGATGAAACGTGAACAGTGGCGTGGGGGAAGTGAAAGGCTGGGGTTACTAAACTGTTAAAAACGTTAATGTAAGTTAAGATAACTCAAACGGAAAAAACGTGGGCACTAATAAGGAGTACAATGTTTAAAATATAAAGTACAATTACATGTTGCTTGGTTTACCACCAACATATTTTTCATACTTAAATAGACCTTACCTTGATTGGCTTTTATAAGATTTTAGAAATGGTGAGGAGAGTATTAATGAGAAAGAGGGGCTTGGACATTAGACAAAAAAGTCTCGTGATTTTCTCCTTTTCGGATTTCCATGTAAAACAGAGTGTTCATACAATATTTATATCTATATTTACTATTTCGTGTTGGATTAAACTCAACAATGGAGAATGCTTAAGAATGCTTGGGGTTACCGACAAATGCATCAAGGAGGAGTATTAAGTAGTGATGCATTTATCTAGAATATTCTATGTAGAAAAGGCTATAAATGTTCTAGTGAACTATAGCTAAAATCTAGAGTAGTTAGACTTAGTTGCAGAATACTCTAGATTTCTAGCATTTAATAAGGATCTAGAATGATCCTCTAGCACCTACAAATAGGATACATTGTACTCATTTGCTCACCAAGCAAACCAAGAAACACCAATACAATACACGTTTTCTAGAGACAAGAGATCTACTCTAAAACACCCCCTCTACACTACACCTCACGAAAATCACTTAACATATTCATACACCAAACAATCTCTTCTATTTTCTAACATGGTTCTCGAACGGGAACTCCCCGAACTCCCATGCTGGACTATTGGAGTGACGTTGCAATAGTTGCCCGGTTACCCCGCCCTGTTGGCCTGACCTGCCGTTGGAGTATTGAGAGACGAGGGAGGCAGGAAGTGAGGGATTAGTTTAGCATCCAGAAAGCCATTTGCTTTCCAACAGCTGTCGGTGGGGCTCGACCACGTCCCGCTCGGCACCACCTGCTTTGGCAGAACGATTCTTGATCTAGACCAAAAATGATCCCCAGGATTCCCTATCGGCCGGGGTGCAAATTCTAAAGAATTCCAAAACCCTCCACGCATGTCCGTTAGGCCACTGTTCTGCCCGGCCACCCTGTTCGAAGTCCCCGATCGACCCGCCGGTGTATGCCAATTGGAGATAGCCGCTGATGGTTTGCCATGCTGCCTCACACCTTGCCGTTCAGCCCAGGCCACCGCCCACTCTCCCGAACCACAAAGGCAACTGCGCCTGGTCCATTGACACCGCAGGGTAGAGTTGTTGCAGGCTACCCGAATTAGTTACACATCAACGAACGGGGTGACCTTGTTCTTTCTGTGAGGCACAACCATCTTGAGCGGGATTTCAAATTTTGATTTAGAAATTGTTGACAAACAAAATGCCAAGGACGAGGCTCATTCTAAATGACTCAGCTGGTAGGGCTCGGGCGTCCTCAACTCTCACTGTACATAACAGCCGAAAAGTCTGGATGAAAAGTTTGGAATCCCAACTACATATATTGGGTCTCCTAACCAGATTTTTAGGGCTCGGTAGAATAGAGCTGGCTCGAAAAGTCTAGATGATATTTTCAAAAACAATCTGGCAGGTATCATAATTTGGAAGTGTTATTCGAATATAATTTGGGGAATGGGAAGCCCTAATTTCTCCGTGGATAGCTTGATCATCCAGATTAAACACTATACACAAAATTGGGTAATGACATTTCCTAAGTTGAAGAGGAACCCTACCAGTGACATCCTTTGTGAGGATTATCTTCTTCCTTACAATTTCAAGGCGATTGGAAAGAAAGTTTCAGATTGTAAGATGGGAAAAACCTAATGGACGATTTAAATTGAATGTTGATGCTAGCTTCTTACCTGATAAAGCGTCCGATAGAACGATTATCATAAATCCGAATGGTGAGATGTTGAGAGCTTACAACTTTGCGATTGAAGCATCTTCCTCCTTATAGGCGGAGCTAATAGCTGTAGCGACAACAGTTTGATGGGCGGTCAGGGAAAGCTTTAATGGTTTTCAGGTGGAGTACGAATCAACTATGGCACTTAATTAGCTGAAGAATGAAGAGGTGCGCAGGTGGTTTGGTGTTATTAACGGCCTGTTTGGATTGAGTGTTGAGGAGTGTTAGTAATGGAAGTGTTAGTAAGTGTTGATGCTAACACTTGTTTGGGAGAAGAATCCAGAGGTGTTAAGAAGTGTTAGTAATGGTTAGGAAGTGTTAATAATAACCTTCTTTACACCTCAATTGTCCATTTTTTTAACACCCCGATTTGGAGTGTTTTGAGGTGTTGGACAATTATTACCCTTCCCATTTACCCGAAAAACATAAAATGCTTCGACATTTCACTTCAAATGTCTTTCCCACGGGTCTGATGGATTGTTTTTTCATCTCTTCTCTTTAATCGTTTCTTTTGCCTCAGGGTAAAATTATTAACAATTCCATTATTAACACTTCATTCATTTGACTCTCCCAAACAAGGTAAAATTATGTCCTACACTTACACTTCTCTTCCCTTCCGAGCCCTTACTAACACTCCCATTACTAACACTTCCAAACACTCCATCCAAACAGGCCCTAAGGAAATCAGGCTGATTGGAAAGAGGAAAGGTTTGACACTCGGACTTGTTCTGCTTGAAGGGAACTGGACAGCCCATTTTCTGACTTTTAGTCAAACGGGCTTGGATAAAAATTATTTTAGTTTGAGATCTTTGCCTATTTCGGCCCGCCGGGCATTTTACATGGATCTTTTTGAGATCCCTTATATTAGTCGTTACTTCTAATTTTTTGCACTCTTTCTGTTATGCTTATTGGGAGGTTTTGGCCTGGTCCCCCTCTCTGTTTGTATTTTATATCATTTTTAATAAAACTCTGGTAAATGCTCCCCGACATGTACCCCACTGATTTTGGTGGTTGCCCTACCGGGGTAAAAAAAGAGTACCTCAGAGATGACGTGGATGGCCCGTTCAGCGCGGACCTTGGGGCTATATTGTTAAACTCCTACACATCATCAGGAGAAGTAACGGCAATAGCGAGAGCAACACGATCCACACTCCCACGCAACAAGGATGCCATAGAAGAGTGCATGGTGAGGCGGACGGAGTGATAGGAAGCTAGAGCACATTCTTGGGCTTCAATCTCACTTGGCTGGAGCTCGAAAACATAGAAGGAACGGTCCAGAATTTGTGACAAAGATTCTGAGTCATAATTTTTCACCGAACTCCGGTCCGAATGAAGATTCTGAGTCTGAATTGTTGGAGATTGAGTTCGAATTATAGATGCAAAGTCGAGAGCCAATCTTGAAGAATATGGAGGGTAGTATTGTGATTCCTACAATGGACGTAGTTTGGCGGTTAAGTCGTCAGCAGAGAACACCGAATAAAAGGAAAAATCTATTAATAAATACTCAAGGGTATTGATGGATAGTGTACCCGGGGGTAGCTTATCCGAAGGGTTATTACGAGAAATAACTTACAGAGAAGTTAGAGCAATAAGTAAGAGAGAGAGTCAAATATATTATGAATTCTGATCCGGGATGCTAGTTACTGGGGGAAAGGGGGCGCTATTTACAGCAGCCATAAGCGCTAGGCGCATTAAATGCGAGTACACGTGTCAACTAATCAACGGTGAGGGGTCATTCCAGCCGCGCTGGCGCCGACATTGCATGTGGAACCACATTAAATGCGGTGGTTGGACGTGGCACCGCATTCAATGTGGTGGTTGCGTGTCTCCAGCGGGGAATCTTTGCTGAGGGGTGGCCCTTCGGCGTGATGGCCGAAGGCCTCCCTGCCGAAGGTTACGTATTTGAGCCCGAATTCTCCAGTAGTGATGTTGGTCCAAGAGCAGCTGTCCCCGTGAGTTTCAGGCCTTCGACAAGGGTGCTGAAGGTACACATTAGGTATTATGGACTTCATGGAGCTTGGGCCGCCACATATGTGCAGGGGCGTTATGAGGCGGTGAGGGCCTTATGGGCGAGGGGTGCCGAGGGCATCATAGCTGAGGGGTACTGCCGAGGGCATCATAGTCGAGGGGTGTCGAGGGCATCATAGCCGAGGGGTACCGAGGACATCATAGCCGAGGGGTACTGCCGAGGGCCTTATGGTCGAGGGGTGCCACAGGCATTATAGCCGAGGGGTACAGAGGACATCATAGCCGAGGGGTACTGCCGAGGGCCTTATGGCCGAGGGGTGCCGCATGCATTATAGCCGAGGGGTACAGAGGACATCATAGCCGAGGGGTGCCGAGGACTTCATGGCCGAGGGGTGCCGCCAAGGTGCTGCCGAGGGCTTCCACTGAATGTCTGGATTGCATGAGTATGCGGGCCAAGGGGTCCTGGATCATATACTCCATCAGGTATTTTAGGTAATTTAGGATTGAGTTTCCTAAAATATGAGTAGTTGAGGTCTACGGAAGTAAAGCAATTAATTAAGTCTTATTTAAGTCAAAATTGTATGAAAGAGTATTATTCTCGACAATTTTCTATAATGATAATATTAATATGGTTACCAATTTTTTAGTAGCTGCTTCAAGAAATAATGGCATGTTCGATTAAAAAATTAGTGATAACGCTTTAAAGATTAAGAGGCGATTGGATAATAGTAAAGTATTCAAGGTGCATGTCTTTACTCCATCCACATATATCTTCTCACTTCCAAAGTGGGTGAGATTAAGAATAGTGAAAAAGGATATGAATTATTGAGGGTATGATGAGAAGATAGTGAAATAATGTGATGGAATGAAGGATAAATCTAAAAAAAGTAAGTGTAATAGTGTATTATTTTGAAAATTATTGAGGGTACGAAGAGAAGATTTAGAAATGAAAAGATATAAATGTTACGTCTATAAAAGGAAAACGAGAAGACATGAGTAGTGAGGGAGTAACTTTTTAGATGCCCCTAGACCGTTGGGAAAGGTCGGCATGAATGAGGCAGTTGGGCAGCAGAGCGAAGACGGGAAGCAAGCTGGCCATGCCGCTGTCGTCATTTACTTATCTCCCTCCATCGATCAAGCTGGCCATCGCCAAAATATTTATTCTCATCGCTGGCTTACGTTAAAAGTCATTCCTCATAATACGGCGCCGCATAATACTGCTCCATGTTTTGAATCCTACGATTCGATAAATCAAAGGTTAGTTCAGTCCATCCTCTGCGTTTGTGTCTACATTTATTTATTCCTGAGCTCTGCTCTGTTTTTGAACGTGAGTGTAATTTGTTTTTTGGCGATTCTGTAACTTCGATGATCGACCGGATTAGATTCTTTTCTGGCAAATGGGGAAGGAGCGGGTGATGTATCCGGTTAGTGAAGTCAACTTGGAGACGGTGAAGTACGTGCCGGAAAATATACAAGGTCACAGTTGCTTTAAACGCAATACAACTACGATATCGCTGTTTTATCTCGTGGTTTGAATTGATTCCTATCACCGTTACTACCATTTTTTACTGTATTACTATCATTATAGTAGGTGTTAACATTAATATTTTAGCGATTAAAACAAGAATTACTATTTTTGCATTATCACCTTGCAGCCCCGCATTTGACTGGGCTTGGTTTGCAGTTATTTGTCAAGTTGGCTGAAGCGCAGCTATAGGGTCATTGATTATGGCTCGCTTGAAGAATCAAAACAGAATAGTAGAGGTCTGATTAGAATTTAACTATCTGTCTGGCTATGCCAAGCGGCTCTGTGTGTTAAGTATGTTCATTTGTGATTGACAGATGTTGAAGAAAACCGTCATTCCAGAGGCTCCAATGTTTAAGCCTGAGTTCACACCACAAGGTTAACTGTTCATGAAATTCCTGCAATTCCTTTTCTTTGTGTATATTGTGATAATTCCCTTAGGCAGGATATTCCATTCATCTATACATTTAGGGTCCATTGGAGCCTGGAGAATACCACAAAACAAAACATGGATGAAAAAAGGACGTAAATTGGCAGGAGATAATGTTTGGGGAAATAGACGATTTTTTTAACCTAAATATATTTAACTTATACTCGTATAATTTATTTATTTACCTATTTTATTGAGATAAAGAAGGAAATCCATATTTAGTTTAAAAACTAATTCTATTCTATTTCTCTTTGCATTTCCCAAGGTAAAGACGAACATAGGAAAACAACTTTCCTTAGCATTTGCTTTCATTTCTCTAGCTTTTCCGGGATCCTAACATACCCTTACAGATTTACTTTATGTTTTTTCAGCAACTTCTTTTTAACTAATAGCTACATGCCTACATCTATATATGTTGAGCACTACGTGCCCTTTACAATTCATGGTTGGTTGGGTTTTAAGTTGCATAGTTTTTATCAATTTTTTTCCAGTAATGGGAAATATTTGACCAATGTTTGATTTAGATCATAATATCATGTAAAAAACCAGGTATCATGTATCTATTTTGTGAGTTGTGATTACAAAGGCTATAAACATTGCATTGACCCATTGTTCTGCACCATTTGGTCAAATTTAGAGCCAGAATGTTGTGTATCTTTATTGGAAGAAGACGGATCCCCTCAAGACAGGGTTGGCATTGCCTTTAACTGTCTCCCACATAATGATCCTGCTAGCAATTGGACCTCTGATATGACTGTGTCATTCCGCTACTGGAAGATTCGTGACTATGCTCACGCATATAGATCGAAGCTTACAACTCCATCACTGGCAAGTTACCTACAGTTTATAAACCTTCATGCTTATTTTTACTCCATTTATTTTATCTAGGAATATAGTAGATATTTTGCTACAGGTTGCTGAGTGCTTTATCTCAGCCATGGAGGAGTTTGATAATAAGAACCCAACAGCCCCTCTGCTGATATCCTTTAATCCTGATGAGGTTAGAAAGCAAGCTGCAGCTTCCACTCAAAGATTTGAGGACGGTAATTGGATTTTCAGACACTTTTACTCATGTAGGTTTTAATAATAGTTTTACCATAATTTATAGTTATAAATCCGAAAGGGTGCCGGTGTTATTAGTGGCACTATTTAATATTTGTTAGCAGAAAGTCTTCTGTTTTAGATGGTGTTTTATTCCATTGTGGGTTATGCAGGAAACCCACTGTCAATCTTGGATGGAATATTCGTGGCCATTAAAGATGACATTGATCTCTACCATCATCCTACAAAAGGTAGGTCCTGGAATTGTCAGTTATTGTTCTGATCTCTTTGCCAGGCTCATTTACATATTTGCAACTTGTACAGGTGCTACAACATGGTATCACGAGGTTTATAAAGTAGAAAAAGACGCAATTTCTGTTTCAAGATTACGCTGCTGTGGTGTCATTTTAGTTGGAAAGGCAAATATGCATGAGCTAGGCTTGGGTACAACAGGAAACAATCCTAATCATGGGTGGGTGTAGTTCAAAAACAACAATTAATAGTTAACATGAACTCATGAACATGATTCTACAGATTGATTCCCTAATTTTTAGTTTTACAAAGTCTCCATGAGTATCATATATCGCAATCAGTCTGAGGGAAAAAACTCATCTTTTATTGTGCTAAAGTGAAAATATTGCACTTCATCTGGGATCCGTCTCATAAGAAAGACTCAAGTTTGGTGAAAGTATAAAATTTTAATTTTGGCTAGGCAGAACCTTTCTAAGCCCGAAGCCTGCTTATGATTCTAGATTTTTTTACTTGACTTTATTAATCACATTGATCATATTAATTCTGTTTACTATGTACTACCTCCGTCCCACTATGTTTGGGACAATTCGGTTTACGATGCTTGACTGACGATAAAACAAACAGATCCCTGTCCGCACTCAAATTATTTTTAGAAAAAAATTACATATTCAGAAACTACATTAAAAACTTTACAAAGTCACAAAAACCAGAATCAAATTTGATAAAAATTTGATAAATAAAGTAAGAGATTAAGAGTGATTTGTGTTGACCAAGTGAATAGTGTTTGAGACAATCTTAGCGGGACGGAGGGAGTATCTTTTTGTGATGAATGTGTACTACTTGGATTGTCATGCTTCATGTCACTTGTTTGGGGTGTGGGAGGTTATTTGGACTTGCTCTTTTCCTGAATATGACATGGTTATGTAGATGAATATAGTATGGACGACAGAAATGACTATGTTGCAATACAGGACAACAAGAAACCCCCATGCTCCAAAGCGGTACACTGGTGGGTCATCCTCGGGCCCTGCGGCAATTGTAGCATCTGGATTGTGCTCTGCTGCACTTGGAACAGATGGTGGAGGTTGTTCAATTATAGCACATAAGGACTATTAATCAACTTGTCCAGATTTATGTAATTATAATGGTTATCAAAGCTTGAGTTTTATGAAAAAAGCAGGTTCTATCCGGATTCCTTCTTCCCTATGCGGTGTTGTTGGCTTGAAGACCACATATGGACGTACTGACATGCGAGGGTAAGCTCACACGGTAGAGGAGTTTAGAGTTGAATTCACATCTTTATCGATCATTTTCTTCTCACAGCATTCTTCCACGCATACCCTTTCATATAACAACTGCTCGTCCAATTTTCTTCGCGAAGGTTTTCAAAATTTGGATATGTAAGATGTGTGCTTATGGATACATTTTTTTGTAGGTTGAAGTTGCATTAAAAGATATGCTGGTGTTTGAGAGTATTATTGTTATATTGTAATATTTAGGATTTTAGGTTGTTGAGTTAGGCCTTGTTTACATTAATTGTATCAAGCCATTAGGACTCTTCTTGTAACATGTGCATATTTATAGACATAAGCATTTCTTGTTAATGCAATAGACAAGAATATTTTCATGAATGGTATCAGACTATCAGTAATGTTCTCTAGTCCTAGCCCCCCATGCCTCTCTCCTCTCTCTGTCGGGAGTGTCGTCCACCACTTCCCTACAGCCTCGCCACCTTGTCCTAACCTCGAAATCATTATCCTTTCCCTCTCTCACAATCCCCAATGTCAGGAATCTCATCCAATCACTCCTAATGTTAAAAAATCTGAATACCTCGCATGGGCAGATTTATCCAAATTTGCCCATGATAGAACACTGGTATAATTTAACTAAGAACAGTAGAAAATCAGGTAGAATTGATCAAGAAACTGATCAAGAAAAGTTTATTGATGAAAGGGAATTTTTACAGAAGGTATACAGTAACCACAGACAATTCGAGATGCCTAATCTCCTATCCAATTTCAACTGAATACTTGCCTACCTCTTATTCCTCCCCTCCCCTTCTATTTATACTACCTGTACAATTACTAATATTTCTATTATTAGCCTAATAGGCCCGATTCCTATCAATACTCCCCCCTAAGCAACCACCTTGTCCTCAAGGTGGGTGATAGGAATCAGCCACGATCTTCCACTTTCACTTCCTTCTTGCACCTTTCCCCTCCCAGTACTTGACTGATTGCTGGACTAAGATCTTCCATACTTGAATCTTCCTCCTTAGTCCTTACTTCTTCTAGCAAGTGCCTCAATAGATTTCCTATCTTCCGAGCATCAATACCCTCGGGCGGCTTTGTTCATGCTGAAATTGAGTTTTACCAATCTGCCCAATCACCAGCTGCTCAATCTTCCAATTGCTAACAACTCTTGCCTCATGATATGTCTCAAGCTCTTGGATTTCAGCTGCTCAATCTTCCAATTACTAACAACTCTTGCCTCATGATATGACTCAAGCTCTTGGATTTCAGTATCTGACATGAAGTATTTCCTGGGACTGAATGGTGTAATCCAGAATTGGTAGGTGCAAACAATGACATGAATGGTGTAGAACCTGCTGCTGTTTCGAGTATGGATAAAAATCTGGCACAAGGAAATTCTGCAAGATACTCTTTGCCTTTTGGGCAGTATGACTTTCAACCATCATCATCTTTAGTCAAATAGTTGGGAGAGCCTCTTAGTAGGGCAGTCATAGAAACTGGATTTCCATTATAAGTTGCCCATCTAGGACCAACAACAAGAGGTGCAATGTAGACTACACCTGAAATATCATATTTATTGTCATCTGTAGCCTTGATCCTTTTACCAGCAATAGCCATCTGAAGCCGATAGTCACAAACTACACCCCCATCTGGAACACGTATATAGATTAATGGCATTTCCCTAACATTTCCCTTATCATTCCCGGTCAATCCTACTCCCAAACCTTTTCGGATATATTTCATGGAATTCACACTGTCAATTTTGAAACCCTCAAACTGATTCAACCCTTCCCAACTATTATTTAGTAAACAAGGGTGCATAATTTCCGTTAGAACACCCAATCCAAGTTCCGGAACTCTACCAATCCAGGATTTGAAATCTTTTAGTTTTCGGTCTAGGGCACTAGTATAGCTTCGAACTTCATAGGTAAGGTTATCTGATTTGCGCGCTTCGGACTCTTCTAGATTATCTGGTGAATCAACGCTTTCTGCCGCTTCCCGAATATCATCCTTCATCTCCAATTCTTGAACTGAAGATGTAGATAGCGTCAGCTTCAACTTAGTGTTCCATGTAGACGGTGGAGTTCCAAGCAATGAAAGTTGCACCTGGGGAGAGACGACTAGCGAAGACGAGTTATGAGAGTCCGCGAATGAGGAAGTCTGCGATCTTGGAGAAACGAGAGAAATAGTTCGCGATTGCGAACTGGGAGATGGGGTTCGCGACTGCGAACTGTGATATGAACTTGGAGAAGCAGTTTGCGACCAAACTTGTGCACGTAGATGCTGGACTAGCGACGCCGTCTGCCCACTAGGAGCTACTGTTCGCGGCGAATCTAGCGAACCGGAAAAAGCCTCTCGCGATGACGATCTATGAGGAACAAGTTGCGACGGAGAACGGGAAGGGTGAGGAGCGACTGGTGAAGACATCTTGGGCCCTGTAGTACCCTCACGATCTCCCTCTCGCCTGAAATTGTTCGTTCATCGTAGCTAGCTGTCTGGTGATGTTTTTCGCCATCATTCTCATGTCTGTTAAGTTCTTCTCCATCGATGTATATGTCCTCTCCATCAAATCCACCATCTTCTCCATTATTGGTGTATAGAATTCTTCCATCGCTCCAGGTACTTGATGTTCTCGATCGATTCAAATCCTGTGCCTCCAGGAAGCGAGTGCTCTGATACCAATGATATAACACTGGTATAATTCAACTAAGAACAGTAGAAAATCAGGAAGAATTGATCAAGAAACTGATCAAGAAAAGTTCATTGATGTAAGAGAATGTTTAGAGAAGGTATACAGTAACCACAGACAATTCGAGATGCCTAATCTCCTATCCAATTTCAACTGAATACTTACCTACCTCTTATTCCTCCCCTCCCCGATTTCAATCAGCCCATCATGCAGAACAAGTCCTTGCAGGTTTCCCCTCCTACAGCTGACCGCGATAAGACAACTGACCCAGCCAACTACAACAACAAATGTGATGAGGTTTACCTTCAGAATCCGAATCTATGGGATTGCTTTTAGGCCATGGTCTTCCAGTGGATTTATAGCACCATATCCATTGATATTAATAAAATTATCAACCTTAGCTCTAATGCTAAGAAGCATTGGTGTGTTTGGTTGACATTTTCAAGGTTAAAAAGCACTCTTATGTGGTTTATTTATTTGAAAGCCCAGTTCCTAAACATTTGTCTTGATCACTTCCTTAATATCTCCTCATATTGTGGTGCCTTGACAGAAAAGACATATGATAGGGTACCTCGAGAAGTCTTTTGGTGGGCCTTAACTAGAAAATGCATATCACATAACTATATTAGCATCATCATGGATATGTTTGAGACTTGTACTACAAGTGTCTGTACTAGTATTGAACTATATGAAGAATTTCAGAGTTCCCTATTACTATCGGAATGCATCAAGGATCGACTCTGAGTCCTTTCTGATTTGCTATAATCATGGATGAACATACGAGTTAATTCAAGAAGATATACCGTGGTGCATGATGTTTGCCGACACTATTGTACTGATTTATGAGACAGAGTCGGGAATCAAAGCAAAGTGGGAAATATGGAGACAAACATTGGCGGCCAAGGGTTTTAGACGGAGTCAAAGCAAGTCTGATTATATGAAGTGCAGTTTTTGTGGAGGTAGAAGTAGTGGTAGGGGTGAAAACATGCCAGGTCAGGCTTTCGCCTAAACAGGCCAGGCCTATTTTAGAATGTATAGGCCTGAGCCTAGCCTGTTACCTTTCAAAGGCATGTTTTTCGGCCTGAGTCTGGCCTGTTTAAAAGACTGGCCTGGCCTAAATCCTATTTATCGGGCCTTTAAGAAAAAAATTAAAATTTCAAAAAAAATAAAAAAAAGTAAAAAATCCTTTTGACCTAGTATAAGATTTATCCCCCCAAATAATCTCTAAAAAGTCTAATAATACGTTAGTTTTGCTTTGGATGTCTAATAATACGTTAGTTATGTAGTTTATAAATTTCTATATACTTCAAATCTTGAAAAACTTTTAATTTCAATTGCCCTAATAAACTACTAACACACTTTATATATATACTTCCTCCGTTCTTTTTTAGTTGCAACAATCAACTTTGCACATTTGCCAACACACGTCTTTGACCATCAATATATCTTATTCTCAAATAGTAAAAAATTAAAAAAAAAAGATTTTGAAAGTTTGTAATGAGACAAATTGAACAATAATTTTTTTAAAAATAATTCTTATAAATTAATAAATAAAATGTAGTCAAAGTAGAGCACATGAATAGTGTAAAATTCAACATGTTGCAACCAAAAAAAGAACGGAGGATAGTATTTAAAATAGTATTCTATTCTAATTTATAACACACCCCAAAAAATACTAATATGCCTAATTTTCTATATTTAAGTATACCAATATAATTATAAATATAAATAATACAAATAAATATAACTAAATATATATACATACATATATGTACACATAAATAGGCCGACCTGTTAAGCTAAAAAGGCTTCAGAGTAGGGCTAGACATGGCCTATTTAGATAAACGGGCTTTTTGAAAAGCCCAAACCTAGTTTGATTATTAAACAGGCCAGGCTAGACCAGGCCTTAAACTGGCTAGGCCACAGGCCTCTGACAGACTGCCTGGCCTATTTCCACCCCTAAGTAGTGGAAACAGTGGGATTACCTTTGATGGCAAAGAGATACCGGTATGTGATATGTTCCGTTACTTGGGCTCCATAATTCAAAAGAACAGTGAACTAGATGAAGATGTATCCCATAGAATCAGAGCAAGGAGGACGAAATGGAAGAGTGCATCATGATTTCTAGATTATCGAGGTATACCGACTAGACTGAAGGGAAAATTTTATCAGACAATAATAAGGTATGCATCAATGTATGGCGTAGAGGGCTGGGCAGTGAAATAATATCACATTCAAAAGATGAGTGTGACAGAGATGCATATGTTGCGTTAAATGTGTGGACATGTCACAAAAGACCGCTTGAGAAATGAGA